ATGAAGTTAAGTTTTGGTTGAATTGGGAGATGATTTTGTTAATTAAAAAGGTTGTTGAAATTCATTATATATGCTTGTAATTGGTTGGAACAGTACATTGGAACGTGCTTGAATTGCATTTTTTTTATTACAATGTTGTGTTGGATACTTGAGTTGCTTGCAGTCGAATAGTAATACCTTTGGGAAATTGGTTGATTTGAGTTTTCTTTTAAAAAAATGTTTGAAATTAAGGTTGTTCCTTAAACTGATTTTTTCTTCTTCGTTGTCACTGTCCCAAGTGGTTTGTGGAAATTTTACTTTGTTTGTGTATTGGTTAGCTCTCCTGGTTGTTTAACCCTACACCATTTTATTTCTTCATCATTTTCATTGTCTCAGATTGTTTGTGGACTAATCTATTTGGGTTTGACTAAAGATGGGAATTTTGGCCTGGCCTAAAAAACCAGACCCACGACCGGTCCTATAAGGCCCAGACCAAAACCCGGACAAAGCCCAAGGAGGAGGGACCGGTCTTAGAGTTGGTCCCTCCTCCTAGGACCGGTCCCTCCTCCAGGGCCCAGGCCCAAAACCCTTCCCCAATTTCTTTTAAACCCCTGGAAAATATCCATAACCCCCCATATTTTATATGAAATTGATAATAAATATAAGGGTTAAAATAATATTTACAAAAAATAATAATAAGAAAATATTGGACCCTAAACTATAAATAAACCCTTATTTCCACCCATTTTCCTCACAACTCTCAGTCTCTCATTCTCTCTACTCCAATTCTCAAAGTCTCTTCAATTTATATTTATATTTAGTCATCTATTATTCATATTATTATTTATATTATTCAATTCCTTCTATTTTAGTCATTTATTATTTTATCATAAATTCATAATGGATTCCCCAAATTATCCATTTGAATGATCATCATCCCTAAATGAGTATTATGTTATAGTTCCTCCATCCACCTAAGAAATGGAAGGGTTCGATCCATTTTCACCCTTTCCAGATGTAGCAATTCCACCTAAGAAATGGAAGGGTTTTATCTGTGCCAGTTTTGACAATTGCATCCACGTTAACATTCTCAATTAGTGGCCGCATTGTTGAAGACAAAATATGCTCTTTAACCAATGAGATAGTTGAAGTCATAACATGTTTACAAGATTGGACTCATGCAGATAGAAGACTATAACAGTATTCTGAAGATCTCGAACTACTCGATCTCTTTAAAAACACAAATTTGGAGGCTGTAAATTTTGACCATGTAAATTAATAATTTAATAAAAACAAATTTATTTAATTGTTTAATTGTTTAAGTTTAAATTAAATTTGCACATTGTGAAGTGTGAGTATTATATTTATGTTGAAATTGAATTATCTCTTTAAATTAAAACTATATTAATTTATAACCAATTAATCATCCATTTATATTTATTTAATTGTTTAAGTTCAAATTAAATTTTCAAAGCTACAATTAAATTACCTCTTTAAATTAAAACCATTTATTTATATTTATTTACTAATTAATTAAAAAATTTACAAATCACCCCTGAAAAATTACATAAACCCCCTAACATAATTTTAGATATAACCAAATATATAAAAAAAATTAAGGGGGTGAAAAAAAATTCTTAGGCCCATAGGACGGGTCCCAAGATCGGTCCTAGGTTGAGAATTTTCATGGGCCTAAAACCAGTCCTAGCCAAATTGGAACCAATCTTTTTGGGTCTAACTAGTCGGGCCTTGCCCACCTCTAGGTTTGACATTGATTAGTTTTTAATTTGGCTTAAGGTTATTGTAAAATTTTGTTTCAGGTCATAGCAATTCCAAAGATGAGGGTTCAACATCTTGGAGATCCTCAACTTTTTTGTATTATAGGATGCAACAGTATTATCATCTTGGTCACTAAGGACGACTCCTATATTGATCACATTTTGCTCTATGTATATTGAATCAAAATTATGACAATGACAATGATATTTTCCCCCCAACTTTTTGTTCTACCCCTTTTTAAAACTGTTTATTTTAATTATGCGTTATTGAAGAGATTTGTATTGAATTCCCAAATTTTATTTGCATTCTTTTGAGTAAAATACATTTTGATTTTGCAATATGGATTGTTATTGGATTTAAATTGACAAAATTAATGTAATATAATATAAATATTAGCTTAGTTTGCAGCACTTGTAGTGACAAAATGGTAATTTCATGTGTCAAATTTTCAAATTCTCAACGGTTATTCATTGCAAACATTAGGGGTAAATTTGTCACTTAATTTTTACACATTGTTGGGAATATGACAGTAATTTCATTATTAAAAAGTGGGGTATATAGGTAATTGACTGTATGGACTTGACATATAATAATAAAAAACTTTAAAATCAAATAGTCAAGGGTATTTTCATCTTTACAGTGATATTAATGTTTTTAACGTAATCTATTAAGGGAATATGTTGTTTGGGTATTAAAGTGATTTTTTAAAAGTCTGAGGGTGAGAAACGGTCATTACGTCATTTTTCGGGTGGGAAAAAGTCATTAACTCTTAAATTAATGGAATACTAACGGCATGGGTAAATTTTATTTATGACACCTAAGGGGCAAACTTGTTATTTCTTGATACCTTAGGGAAAATTTAGTAAAATTTTAGAATAAGATTTTCCATTAAAATAATAAATTAAAGCTCTAATGTAATTTTATTTTTTATTTTTTATTTTTTGTTTTGGGACATAAAATTCTTAGCATAATACTACATATTGGATAAGGGTACACCCATGATGGGTTACCCCAAGCGACGTGTGTGAAATGAAACTACCAAATGCAGTTTCTCTCTAACCGCTACATATAAAAGAAAAGTTCTTTCTTTTAGTTACTGACTGTCACTCTCAAAATACGCAAAGAAAATAGCTCTCTCTCTCTAGAATTTAGAAAACAGAAATACACTTCGTGGTTTTCTTCCAGATTAACTTTGTTGCTTCAGAGATAAGGAAATGAGGTATTTATGCTGTGTTAATTCATTGTAGTTCATTTATATACAAATGTGATTGCAATGGTGACTATGATCTTGGGATTATGTTAGGATATATGTTATTCTATATTATTTCCAACATTGGTATTAGAGCCGTGGTCCATATTGTTTGAAATTCATATTGTTATATTGAAGCATGTTATTGGTTTATCAAATGCAGTTCTGATTTGTTCAAATTTTGTACGTAAAAAGTTGTCTTTTTGGTAATGATAATTAGACCATTAAATTCCTTATGAAATTATGAAGAAAATGGTTTTTGAATCATAAAAAATAGAGTTAAAATGACTTAGATATGCCTTTTTGAAGTTTCGGGTTTCGAATGGGTTGATTTTCGGGTCGGGTACTCAGTTGCAGACCCGGACAGAGGTTGAAGACGACACGAACCGACATGTCGTTTTTGATCCACCCTTATGAATGACATGTCGTTTTTTCCTGATTTACTTCCTTTTGAAAAAAAATTCAAATTAGCGTGGTTTGTGTGACTTGAACCCAAGTCTCCATGGTTAAAGCCTAATTCCCTAACCACTGGGCTAATTTGTTTTTGTGTTAACTATAGTCACTAGCCCAATATAGTCCTATCCGGCCCAACCCATAACCAAAATAAAAATGGGTCAAGTTGACCCGTGGACCCGACCCATATGACCAAACGGGTTAGTCAAACCCGCTAATTAGTCAAAGCCGACCCGCAAAGTCAAACGGTCGGTCAACACCCGACCCGTAAAGTCAATAAGGTCAACAGGCCAAACTCGAGTTAGGATTGACCTCGGTTGAGTGTGAAACGGGTCGACCAGACCCGAATTTGTCTGAGCGTGTGGGGTACCATGCCGGCGCGTGGACGCTCCTGCCGATGCGTGGCGGCGCGTGGCCGCTTCTGGATGGCGCGTGAAGTATTCTAAATTTTTTTTCTTTTGCTGTAAGGAATAAAAATGAATACTTGGTATGTTGTTATGAGTCTAATTTTTGTTATTAAATCATAAACACGTATATATATTATTTATCAAATATAGTCAACATTTATTTGATAAATAAATAGTTTTTTTTGTATTTGTTACAGAAAAATGTTACGTTATAGACGTGCAATGGTTGCTAGAACACCCGCTCAAAGGGAAAGGGTTATGAACATGATTAGAACTCTACAAACTCACACATTGTTTTTAAGAGACACAGAGGATGAGTTGGTGCAACTCGTAAATCATTTCATTCATGTGAATGAAAAGATTCAGGAAATTGTCTTGATAGGGGGATTAAAGGAAGATGAGTCGAAATATCAAGTTCTAAGAGAGACTCTTGGTTACCCTAATCTCGTTGGTCTCCTTGATATGGTTTGGAGCAAGCTAAAAGTTCATAACTTTAAAGATGACAATAAAAATTATAGACGTTTAGTCAACAACTATATCAAGGAGTACATAAATTGGGGTGCAAAAAAGACAGCTGGTGCATCTATAAGAGTCTCCACTCGTAAAGGACATCACAAGAAACTGGGAGTTCCACTGCCTAGGGTTAATTACAAGTTAGATAAAAACCTTAGGATAAGGATTATTAGATCCTTCCCAGTTTTAGGAATGTGGCTGTACACTTAATTTTTTTTGGAATTTGTTTGTTTTAATTTCATTACAAGTTGAATTCTATTTACATAATGGAATTAATTTTATTTATTTATTTTATTAAAATTTTATGTGAATTTATATTGATTTATATTTATATAATTGTGTCTAAATATAATTTTAGAATTGCAATTAATTATATCTATGATAATTGGAATTTGGAATTTTGGATGATGATTGTTGACATTGTTAACTTTTGATTCCAAATCTAATATACAATTATTATTGGTATAATTAATTAAATGTATATGTATGTTCCGAGCATTGAATAACATGCATTATCCAACGTGTAATTTTGTTTAGAAATGGCATCTGCATCTAAGAACATTGTCGCCAAACTTAACAAAGGAGAAAAATTTAACGGCGACAATTATGAGATATAGAGCATGAAAATCCAATATGTTTTGGAAGAACAAGAGGTTCTTGAAGCTTTTACTACAACCATGGAAGAGCCTGAAGAAGGAGTCACAGCTCAACATAGACTAGACCGTGCAGCTTATGACATATGGAAGAAGAAGAATTCCACTGCTCGCATTACTTTGTTGAGCAGCATGGACAATGATCTCATGAAAAAGTACCGAGATTACGAATTAGCAAAGGACATGTGGTCCGCACTTGCTACAAAGTTTGGCGGTACGTCCATTACCAAACTCCGGTCACTCACTATAAAGTTTGACACATATAAAAATAAGCCTGAACATACTATGAGAGTACATTTACGGCATTTGTCAAACATGATAAGTGAGTTGAGAGATGCATGTCATGTCTTAACTGATGAACAACAGGTTCAAGCTGTCATAAGATCATTGCCTCAAAATTGGAAACATATGAAGATACACCTTACCTACAATGAGGGCNAAAGAAAAAACACATGCATTAAATATTTTGTTATTAATTAGTATGTATTTTGACATTTAATATGTAAATACAACATCATGTTTGGATTTAGACTTTGAATTGTTGTTAAATACTTAAATTATGCTAGGATTGTTGTTGAATTTGAACTTTGAATTATATTGGATTGGACAGTAATTAAGTTGTTATTGTCTTATTAAAAAATAGAAATCTAAAAAAAAAAAAAGTTTTTTAAAAAATGTGTTGATGTCATCATGATGTGTGATGACATCACCGGTCCAACTGACGGTCCAACCGGTTGGACCGGTTGAACCATGACCCGGCCAGCAGAGCGGGTTGCCTGCCGGTCCGGTTTTTAAAACAATGAATTTTGGATGATGATTGTTGACATAGTTAACTTTTGATTCCAAATCTAATATACAATTATTATTAATATAATTAATTAAATATACGTATGTTCCGAGTATTGAATAACATGCATTATCCAATGTGTAATTTTTTTTAGAAATGACATATGCATCTAAGAACATTGTCGCCCAACTTAATAAAGGAGAAAAATTTAACAGCGAAAATTATGAGATATGGAGCATGAAAATCCAATATGTCTTAGAAGAACAGGAGGTTCTTGAAGCTCTTACCACAACCATGGAAGAGCCTGAAGAAGGAGCCACGACTCAACATAGAAGAGACCGTGCGGCTTATGACATGTGGAAGAAGAAGAATTCCACTGCTTGCATCACTTTGTTGAGCAACATGGACAATGATCTCATGAAAAAGTACCGGGATTACGAATTAGCAAAGGACATGTGGTCCGCCTTTGCTACAAAGTTTGGCGGTACGTCCATTACCAAACTTCGGTCACTTACTATCAAGTTTGACACATATAAGAAAAAGCCTGAACATACCATGAGAGTACACTTAAGGCATTTGTCAAACATGATTAGTAAGTTGAGAGATGCAGGTCATGTCCTAACTGATGAACAACAGGTTCAAGCTGTCATAAGATCATTGCCTCACAATTGGGAACACGAAGATACACTTTACCCACAATGAGGGCATCAAAAATTCAGAAGATGCCACACGACATTTGGAACTGGAAGAAGATCGCCTTAATGCGAATAAGGCAAATACTGATGTGTATATGACTGGTTCCAGTTCACATGGTGAGAAGAGATATTTAAATGTAAATTCCAAGGTGGATCCCAAAGAAAAGGCAATACTGATAAGGCTTAAGGGATGAAAAGAAAGTTTTATAAACACAGAAAAGGAAAACATCCTGCCAGGAAGAGAAACATGGCAAAGGTGAAATGCCATAATTGTGGCAACAAGGGACATTTTGCTCTTAATTGTAGTGAGCCGAAGAAGGTAAATTACTTGTTTGCATAAGTAAGTTATATAAATGTTTCCAGTTCTGTTTTTCTAACTGAATCTCATCCTTTTGTCGACTGTAGATTCAGCAGCAACAGACCACATAACAAAAGACATGAGTGCTTTTGTGGAGTTTCGAAGAATACCATGGGAAACAAAATGGATATATGTAGGTAACAATTCAAAAGTGGAAGTTAAAGGGATCAGTACATGCAAATTGATCATGCGTGGAGGTCAAATCCTATACCTACATGACGTGTTATATGCACTCGATATTCATTGAAATTTGATTTCCGTGTTAGAACTTATTAAACTAGGTTTTAATTTAAACTTTTCCAGTACTGGTGTCCATTTACTTTTGGACACAACATACTATGGTTGTGGTTATAGTTCTGATGGTTTTATCGTACTTGACATTGCTCATAATTATAGTAATGCTTGTTTTTCCTTCATTACATCTTCCAATAATGATGATGTGAATGTATGGCATGCACGGCTTGGCCATATTGTCCAACAACGAATGAATGTACTAGCAAGAGAAGGCTTGTTAGGAACCTTAACAAAAGTAGACTTGACTACTTGTGAACATTGCCTAGCTGGAAAAACAGCAAGAAAACCATTTGGAAAAGCGATAAGAGCTAAAGTTCCATTGCAACTAATTCATTCTGACATATGTGGTCCAATGAATGTGAGGGCTAGACATGGGGCTGTTTATTTCATCACATTTATAGATGATTTCACTCGATATGGTTGTGTTTTTTTTTTTTCTCAAAAATCAGAAGCTTTAGAATGCTTTCAGAAGTTTAAAAACTTAGTTGAGAATCAATTAGATAAAAAGATAAAAGTTCTACGAACCGATCGAGGTCGTGAATATTTATCTGATCAGTTCATAAATTTTTGTGATGAAATGAGAATATAACGTCAATTAACTATTCCAAGAACTCCACAACAAAATGGTGTTGCAGAATGAAGAAATAGAACCCTACTTGAAATGGTGAGGTCTATGATGGCACAAGCAAACTTGCCCATCACCTTTTGGGGTGATGCCTTATTGACTGCCACATATATCCTCAATCAAGTACCCTCCAAATCTATTACTACTACACCATATGAGTTATGGACAAATCGGAAACCCGATTTGAGTCTCCTGAAGCCATGGGGATGTGCTGCCTATGTTCATGATCCTTCCTATAAATATGGAAAATTAGGTCCAAAGGGAAAGAAATGTATCTTCATAAGATACTCAGAACATTCAAAGGGATACTTCTTCATAGGAGAACAAGAAAGTGGTAGCATCACTGAGTTTGAATCACGAGATGTCACATTCTTAGAAACCGATTTTCCTAAGAAGGGCAAGATAAGTCAAGACTTGTTTCTGTATGAAACACAAGACCAAGGAAATTATGCTGCTGAAAACCAGTTGGTTATACTACATCCCAGTGGGAGCGATATGGAAGTTGATGAATTAATTTCAGATCCTCCATCATTCCCCACTGACGATCCAACTATGATAGCTGGTCCAAGTGGGAGTAACACCAATCAATCTCTAACACGTTGATCAAACAAGAAACAAGTTCCACGTCGACGATTTGAGATTGAGGGGGAAATTTTTCTAATTACTTCATAAGATGAAGAAGAGCCAAGGAATGTAAATGAGGCTCTCAATTGCCCTTCTAAGAAAAAATGGATGAAAGCAATGGAAGAAGAATTGGAGTCTATGAAATCAAACCAAGTATGGGAATTGGTTGATTTATCGAGAGGACGCAAAGCCATTGGAAACAAGTGGGTTCTCAAAATCAAGCGTAAAACTGATGGCAGTATTGAAAGATACAAAGCTCGCTTAGTCGCGAAGGGGTATACATAACAAGAAGGAATAGATTATCAAGAAAAATTTTCGTCTGTTGTGTGGTTTACCTCAATCTGACTTATTCTAACTATAGTTGCTAGCATGGATCTTGAATTGCATCAAATGGATGTAAAAACTGCTTTTCTCAATGGAAAATTACAAGAAGAAATCTATATGGAACAACCAATAGGTTTTATTAGAGAAGGTTAAGAACACAAAGTGTGTAGACTTTTAAAGTCAATTTATGGCCTCAAGCAGTCCTCAAGACAGTGGTATATTTTATTTCATAATTCGATAATGTTTTATGATTTTAAAATGATAGATGAAGATCACTGTGTATATACAAAGAGATCCAATAACAAATTTGTTATATTATCATTATATGTTGATGATATACTTATAGCTGGAAATGATAAGGGATTTGTCAATGAAATCAAAGGATGGTTATCATCTCATTTTGAGATGAAAGATATGGGTAAAGCTGTATATATTCTTGGAGTCAAGATTTCAAGAGATCGCTCAAGAAAATTAGTATCTCTTTCACAAGAGCCATACATTAAGAAAATTCTTGAACGATTTCATATGCAAGATTGTAAACCCATAGACAACCCTATCGCGAAAAGTGAGACTTTGAGTTGTAAAGTGTGACTGAAGACTCCACAAGAAAAGGAACAAATGAAGAATGTTCCTTATACAAGTGCTGTTGGAAGTCTCATGTACGCCATGATATGCACAAGAGCCGACATTTGTTATGTTGTTGGGTTGGTGAGTAGATATCAGTCCGACCTAGGACAAGCACATTGGAAAACAGTGAAGAAAATCTTAAGATACCTAAAATGAACAGCTGATTACTCATTATGTTATCAAGGAAATGATTTACACTTGAGAGGGTACACCGATGCTGATTGGGGAGGAGATTTAGATGAAAGGAAATCTACTTCCGGATATGTTTTCTTACTAAATGGTGGGGCTATATCTTGGAGCAGTAAGAAACAATCATGTATAGCCTTATCTACAATGGAGGTTGAGTTTGTAGCATTTTCAGTTGCAGTGCAAGAAGCCGTTTGGTTGAGACGGTTCATGAATCATCTGTGAATAATTAATGTTGCTATTGAACCAGTGAGAGTAAACTGTGTTAGTCAAGCAGCAATAGCATACACTAAGGATCCCAAATATCATGGTAAAACGAAACACATAGATATCAAATATAATTTTGTACTTGGTGGCACAAAAGGAGGTGAACATGAAGTACATATCTACACATGACATGGTTGCGGATCCATTTACAAAGCCTATACCAAGAGATACTTTCAATAGACATGTTAGATCTCTAGGCTTTCGTAGGTGTTGAATGTAATACTTTGAGATTTCCCAAAATTGTTCACTTTTGTCTTATCAATATTAAATAACAATATTGTCAATGCTCAATTTTGATTATTATGAAACATACATGAAAGAGTATATATATATATATGTTTATTTTGAAAAGCATGTCGGACAGTTAAAAGATTGGCCTTCTCATACAGGCAATAGCCTCCATTACTTTGTAGGAATGGAGATGAGACTATTTTAAGCTTATTATCTAGGTGATAATAGAGAGCCAAGCTTAAAATGTTTGACGTCGCCTAAAACGAGAATTAAAATAATGTCATAACGAAATATGATCATAAGTGATAAATGATCACTTTATCTGTCTAATTGCCATATTAGAGTTCTGATGAATTAAAAGTATGTAAAGTGAACTCAAGTTAGACATTAGGTATGTTTGAACTAAAATCTTTATGACATTTACAAGAAAAGAGACATGCACTCCATGGGAAAAGAGGAAATGTTGTAGCATGTGATTCATACCACATGTGCAAAATATTGACCAAAGGGATAATGAAAGTCAAAATATCAACTTTAACATTGTGTGAGACCCTGAGATTTTAGGAATAAAATCTCATAGAATACCCTTATTACTCTATTATGTTTCTTGAAAACCTCATTTAATGAGTGATATCCTAGAGTGTTGCCAAAAGATTAAGATAATCCAATCTGTTGGGACATTTCTGGAAAGCAAGTTAAATGAAAGCTGAAAGAATCGAGAAAAGAGGAAGATTACAATTTTGGATTATCACACTATAATCATGTGTATTCATTGGTCGACCAATTATGTTTTACTTTTATGTAAAGACAAAACATGATTAAATACAACTGATGTTTATTATAAATGAGATTGTTAAAAAAAAAAAGTTGTGATAAGTAATCTAGGGTATTGGATACAACATACAACCCAAGTTTCACAATTCGAGAAGTTATATATTCCTAACAGATATATGACTAATGTGCTCTTGAAGTATGCATGGTCACACGACATATTTACTAAAGTATGAACCTTGAAGAAGCACAGAGAGAAATAGTCCCATCATGTGTGAGTGGGAGATATTGGATATGGGTGGGATATCCATGATGGGACCCACCCAAACGACGTTTCAAGTGGAAACTATCAAAGACAGTTTTCGCCTAAAATTGCGTGACAACTGTCGCCCATATATAAGTGAAGAAATTCCTTTTAGAAGGTATTATTCACTCTCTCTAAAAAATGTATTGAAAGGAAAGGCACACATACGGTGGTTATCTCTCTCAAGATACAATTTTGCTTCAGAGTTAAGGAGTAAAGGTATTTATGCTGTGAATTTCATTGTAATTCGTTTAAGTAAAATGTGATTGCAATGGGTGACTATTGATATGATCTTGGGATAATTTAGAATATTTGTTATTATGAGTTTTTAGTTTTTTCCAATAGTTTATTTTATCAATAACCCCCACTTCTTATTTAGATGAGGGTAAAATTATA